ACACTGGACAATAGAAAAAACTTCTGAACTAAATCAGCCAGTGTACTTCATGGATGTACTGACCTCAGAATGGAAAGCAGGATATGTGTTACGTTGGGGTAGGGGTCTTGCATTTGTATCTACAAGAGAAGAAAAACTATGGATACCATCTAAGTTAATCAAGATCCGAGTTGAACAAGAGAAACATCTTAATGAAGAGAAATGACAAGTCATCCAACAAATTAGGTCCCATGAGGTGTGCGGAGGCCTCTCAAAGGTAGGGGAAGTGTTCTGTTCTTGTTTTTACAGGAAAACAGAGAAAACCTATCATCAAACAGCCAAAAGACACTGAACATGTAGGTACCTACAGAAGAGAAGACAGCTCTTCAGAAACAATCACTTAAGGAAGCAGAATCTGATATATGGTATATATATATATATATATATATATATATATATATATATATTTAATTGTAGTAAACTATTTCTATACAGAAATCTATTTCTCTCTACTATCTAGTATTCCCGAAGTTCCAATTTATGTAAACCAATGCTGGCTTTGGAGTTGGATTTGGCTTTCCTTCTCTAAATTCAAGCATGTTGTTAAGATTAAATTTATGGTTTCTGCCTTAAATCAAGAAGCCAATTGGTGTAAGGCAGAAGAAAACAAAATCTGGGGACTCATTTCTTATGCGCAATTTTCTCTCTGAAATCCTAATTTTCTCACATACGTTTTAATGCTTATTGTTGTCTTTTCCTAATGCATACCTTAAAACTTGAAAATTTTACTTTAATATTGATGTGTAACTTTTCCACAAGGAATAATAACGATTCCTAACAGCAGTCTTTGAACTCTCCCGAAAGAAGATGGGGCCCCACATCATCGTTTCCAGTTGACTCAACCTGATGCATCTGAACTACAAACATCGCCCTAAAACCGGTTTGAGACTGTTTTGCTCGAGGCAACTCATGACTAGCTAGCTGTAATGGTGCACCTTTTTTATTTCACCCTGGCCAGAGTTTCAAATAAAACTACAGTCAAAAATTTTCTGCCACACAGTGACTAGCTACATATGTCACCACCAGTTCTGTTGAGAAATTTGGTTGCTAAAAATTTTCTTCCTACAGGATCATCCTATTTCAGCAGGACGTAACCTTAAGATAACGACGCCCCCTTTCCCTACCCTTGGAATTTTGGGATAATAGTCATCGTCTTTGGGTTGGTTTTAGTTATTTAGGGTTGGGTATGGAAGGTGATGCTTACACTTGGGTTTATCTTTTAGACAGTAATAGGGAATGGTTAGGAAAGGTATGGTTTAGATGGGATATAGGTAGATTAGCCTATTTTCTTGTGTATTTGAGTAAGAATGAGATAGTATTTTACAGCTTACATTGTTATGTATTCTTATATGTGGTAAGCTAGGTAAAATTAAGTTTATATTTTGTTATTTTGTGTTAAATCTTTCCACTTACGATGTTTTATGTACATTATTTTTTACCATATTCTATGTATGTATACTTTTCCTGTATTCAAGACATTTTGTATATTGATACAATTTGGGATATTTATCATGCTGCCCTTTATAGTTCTACCTCTTGTCTTGACATTTCTACTCTACCTCTATTTTAGGGATTTATATGTATGTATATGTATATAATTATATTGTTTAAGTATTTGGTCCTGCTTTATTCAGGGAAGTTTTAATCAGTATTTTAGCTAAGTTCCTGAGTATTACAGATTATCTTCACTCATGTTTCCTGTACCTATGAGATTAGTCAGATATAGATGCTTAATCTTCAATCACTTCATACACATGCAGAACATGGCATTTAAATGTTTTAATATTAGTACTCCGTTGACATGAGACACTGTTGCTCCTGACAGCACCGTGCACTTTCCCGAAAATATGTTGGACACTGTTGTTGCTCCTGATGGAGTTCATTCTCGCCTCAGCTAGTGGCCTGTTGGGCAAAGAATTGCCCCCACCTTGACCACTGATTTGGACATGCAGTCCTATGTGCTTGCAGGAGACAAATATAGAAGACTGCTGGACCTTGCCAAGTCAGGGTAAGAAAGCCATTCTACCTCCCTGCTGTTGTTGTGGTCTGTCAAGTTCTGTTGGCCTTAGCCAAAACTGGGTGTACCAACATTGCTGTGAGACCTAGGGTGACTGTCCAGGTGGCTTGCTGTTTCTGTCCTCGCTGCACCTTTTGGAAGTTGCCCATCCGCACTTCCTGTCTACCCTAGTATCATTATTTTCCTTCTCAGGTCTTGATGAGGTTGAAGATTAAACTATCACAACTATTATTCTCTCTTCCTAGTTAGATATATTAGGTACTAGACTTACGTTTTCCAGCTTAGGACAACTCTATTGTAAACTCCGTTATGCCTTCACCCTAGGACTAGATATGTAGGTCATTTTGTTCTCAATTTTCCTTTTCTTAGAGCACACTTGTTATTCACTGTTTTGTATATAGTTTTGTATTAAGCCTAAATCTTTTCTTTAGACTAAAAGGGGAAATGTAGTGAGATAGTCCTTCTGTGGCACTGACCACGCCCATTGGGGGGTGGAGCCATGGGCGGAAGTGACCTGTGGAAGGAGGTCGGAGGAAGAGCCTGGAAAAGCTCTCTTGCTGGCGGGTCTCAGACAGGAGAGCATCTGGTGGAAATTGCTGGTGTTCATCTGTCTAGGCTGTAAGTTATTTCTCCCTGAATAAACATCTATTGGGCCTATTTGTTTATCCTGATCCTTATTTAACCGCAATAGTGGTAGTACACACCTTTAACCCCAGCACTCCAGAAGCAGAGGCAGGCAGATCTCTGTGAGTTGGAGGCCAACCTGGTCTACAGAGTGAGTGCCAGGACAGTAAGGACTGTTACACAGAGAAACCCTGTCTCAAGAGTAAATAAATAAAATTTAAAAGCCAAATAAATCAAATAGGCCTAACAACAGTAATGATGGTTTGTAGAATAATCTCTGATGTAATGGAAGGGTGGACCGATTTCTTCTGTTTCCCTCTCTTTTCTTGCCTTCTGGCTCCAGAACCTCCCAGCATCTGGGAACCCTTCCTAGTTTTCCTTGTATTAAATTTCTTTCTTAGCACGGCTGCTTGCTGTTGCATATGGTGTGCCCTAACGTATACAGTTCTGGAAAGCTCCCATTCTGATGAGAAGCCATGCTAACTGCTGGCTGCACAGCAGCAGAGAGCCACTGTCCATCAGTACAGACTTACGGGGTTGCTACTCACAGGGGGACTGGAGAGATGGCTGAGGACACCTTTGTATTCTATGTTCTGAGGGTACATTTGACTCTTGTGGGACAGCAAGGGGTCTGCATGGACTCGTTCTTGCTAGTGGCATCTTTGTTCTGAGTTACCTCCCCAGGCCAGATGGCCCTGGAGAAGATAAAGACAGTCTAGGAGGAAACTGACCAGAGTTGGCCCAGATGTTCAGAGAACAAGGGAAGAGAGTAAGAGATGATAAGGACGGAGGCGCTGACATCATAGATCTCAGGGACAAGGCTGGCCACCTGACAAGAGGGACGAGAATGATTGCCTTTGCTCCCCCTTCAGCTGAAGCTGCTGGCTGTAGATAAGGGAAGGCAGCTTTTAGGGCATTAGGTCATGGCCTTCTCAGATCGTACGCCTTCTGGTAAACACAATTCTGTCCCTGCTCTTGGCCCATGTGGTGACACAATGAAGACTGTTGTGTCCCAGTGACAGTGCTAGCGACTGTGCTAGGGACAGTGCTAGTGAGTGTGCAGCTGCTGTGGCTCTTGACAAGCTAGGAATAGGCCCGGCAGAGCGGGACATTCCTTTTCCACCGTAGTACTCTAGAGGCAGGGACAAGAGGATCTCTGTAAGGTCAAGACCAACTGCTCTACAGACTGAGTTCCAGGCTGGCCAGGGCTACACAGTGGGGCCCTGTCTCAAAAACAAACACATACATCAAAAGCCACCACAAGTTAGAAATGTAGACAAAATAATTCTTAGGTAGAGATGCAAAAATCTTTGAAAGCAGAAATTCAAACAAGTACTTGCGTATTCATGTTCCTAATGGCACTATTTATCGTCTCCAAGAGGCAGGACAACACATCAGGTGAAAGACAGATAAACAAATGTCTTTTAGACCCACTCCAAGAGGAGTGAAGCCCTGATCTAACTGAAGAAGCAGCTTTGGAAACACAGGTTAAAAAGACAAGCACAAAAGGCCATGTGTGTATGAGTTTACCCATATAAAATGTCCTAAAGAGGCAGAACTATGAAATCAAGTTGGTCAGCCACTTCTGAGAACTAGCACGGAGGAGAATTGGAAATAGACGCTCAATGGGTATGAGGTGGTGAAAGTTTTGGAAGTAGAGAGTATTGATGGTTGTACAACCTCGTGAGTGAACTAAATGCCACTGAGTTATACATTTCTAAAAGCATAAAATGGGGAGTGGACAAAATGGCTCAGCAGGTAAAGGTGCTTGTTGTCAAAGCTGATGACCCGAGTTAATCCCTAAGCCCCTTACGGTGGAAAGAGAGAACCAACTCCCACAAGCCATCCCTCTGAGATGTTCACATGCACTGTGACACACACACACACACACACACACACACACACACACAATTGTAGGGGGCATATAGATACTCACAGATATTCTAAAAACCCAAAGATTATTATTGACTTGTTAAGAATTGGGAGAAAAAGGAATTTAGGGGCTTGAGAGACCACTCAGTGGTTAAGGGCACTGGCTGCTCTTCTAGAGGACCCAGGTTTGATCGCCAGCACCTATATGACAGCTACCAACCATCTGTAACTCCAGTTCCAGGGGATTCACAGCACATAGACATAATGTGCAGGCAAAACACCCTAACACATAAAATAAATCTTTAATGAAAAGAATGTGTTAGGTCAAATCATGTATGTGTATTAGTTGTGGTAGTCAGTCACAAAGAAAACTTTTTTTTTTTTAGTCTGTGGTTGTTTTAAGGGGTCTGTTTGAAGTAGGGAATTGGGAATTGAAAGGCAAACAAACCTTTGTTTCTAATTCAGAACAGCCCCGGGTAGCCGACAGCGTGGTTCCCACAGGTGTGAAGAGAAAATCTTGAGCAAAACGGGAGTTCTTCAAGACAGCTGCGGTCTCTTCATCCACCTCAACAGCTTCGCCTCCCTAAAGAGCAGCATTAAGTATCAAAAGATGTCACTTGGGTCCTTTCGGTTCTGGGAATCAAACTCAGATTGCCAGGCTTTCCCAGGCAAGCACACTTCCCTGCCGAGCCCGGCCGGCCCGGCACTTCAGTCCTATTAGAAAAGACACTGGAGCTGGTGTGTGGGCTGGAGGTATGTCAGGATATATGCTTGCCCATGATTGGACCTGATGCAATGAATTATGGGTTTTCCTTTTTAAACCCTTGCCATATATTGGGGGGCATTTCCCAGGTATCTGGGTATGGACCTGGTGAGAGCCCATCCACCTGGTCAGAATTTAATTAAAACTTGCTTCAACTCTAGCTTTAAACTGTGGTAGTGTTCTTGTTTTCAATCTGGAGGAGTAACACCTGAATTGCTAATCCTCCTGCCTCTATCTTCCAAGTGCTGGAATGTGCCATCATGCCTGTTTGCAAGCAGTGTTGTGGATTAAACATCAGGTTCATACATGGTAGGCAAGCACCCTACCAACTGAACTACATTCTCAGCCTCAGATTTTGCTTTGAAAACAAAACAAAAATCCTGCAGTGAGGACCCTGTGCTTCGTTAGCATCCTACATTGCCTCCTCAAGTGGCTGCTGGTGAGCCCTTATAGGCAAGGACCTCCCTGGCTTTGGATGATCATCCATTTGTTGGGATCCTATTTGTTGATTATTTGTTTGCTTCTGAGTATTACTGGCAGGTGTGAGCTACCATGTGGGTGCTGGGAACTGAACTGTGGATTCTCTGGAAAGGCAGCCGATGCTCTTAACTACCTAGCCATCTCTCCGGAGATATTTTCAACTCTATTATAATCTATGGCACTGCTACTGTATATAGTATTTTCTTGACTGAAATGTTATAGGTCATATGACCATGCATATATGCATATATATACACATATGTTTACACACAAATAAGGCAAACACAGCAAAATATTTTCAATTGCTTAACAAAATGGATAATAGTATATAGATAGCACTGACTGTCCTGGAACTCGCTCTGTAGCCCAGGCTGGCCTCAAACTCACAAAGATCCACCTGCCTCTGCCCCGTGAGTGCTGGGATTCCAGGTGTTTGCCAACACTGATGACCTGACATTATTATACTATTTTTAACCTTAATGGAATTAAAAATATGTTTATAATATTGAGAAAATGTCTTTTCCAATTTACTTAATAAATACACAAAGCAAGAGATCATACAGTGTGACACCCACCCCTGTGATCAGGTGTAGCCTCTGCAGCCTCCACCCACCTCCCCACCGTGGCCCTTGACAGAGTGAGAGCATGATGTATTTGAGAAGTGTGTGAAGCATTTGAGATGCGAGTGTCCTCTACCCCAGGGAAATGTGTTTCCAGATGGAGTGGGAAAGAGCGTGGTAGGGTGGTAAGCGCCATCTGCCGCCCATCAAACTCAACCAGAAGAAAGGACCAGGAATCAAGACACAGCAAGAGGCAGTGGGAAATAAAGACAGATGAGCCGCCGAATGGCAAACGTGATGTAAAATCTGAAAATGAAGATACAGTTTAAACCCCTCCAGAAATAAGGATGAGACCAAGCCTTTAATTCCAATATACAGGGGATAGAGATGCAGGCAGAATTTTATGAGTTCAAGGGCAGTGTGATTTGCACAGTGAGTCTTAGGCCAGCACGACCTAAACATATTAAGATTCTGACTCGGGGGTGGGGAGGGGGTAAAGAGTGGGGGTGAAGTAGGGGGGGGGAAGACTTGACAGACATGGCCATCAGGTAAATGGAAAGGAAGAGGTCAACACTATAGCCCTAAATCATGGCCATTCCCTGTGTCCAGACAGTCAGTGTTCTTCAACTCACTGAAGCCAAATGCCTCCGTCCAAGACAATGACAGGGCCTCTGAAATAAAACCCAAGCATGCAGACTCAGACCACCGGAAAGAAGAGCCTGCCATCTTGCCTTGGCCTGTAAACTGGATTATGATGAAGACTGAAAGAAATTCAGCTGATGCCCAGAAAACCGCAGAACACTGAATGTGAAAAGCAAGAGTCTAAAGAAACGAGAAGAACATTCAAGAAGTCTAAAGAAATGAGAAGCACAGTTGACAGCCAGAGGGAGAAAGGAGGCAAAAGACAATCAGGGACCCAGGAAGGGATAGACGGGATAAGAATGCATCGCAGGAATGGCAGGGTTGCCATTAAGTTATCTGGTGTGACAACCATGCAGAATGTTAAAAGGTGGCTTACCAGATGTCTCCCAGAATGAGTAAATAGGTCAGAATGTCAGAGTAACCCAAAGGCTGCATGCAGATCTCATGTAATGGATATTTGACAAAGCCCTCATGGAAGGAAAATCAACATAGGCATCTAATGGATGTCACAGAAATACACAGCCGGTGCCTCTGCCTTTCTCTCCAGAGCCCAGGGGCTCAAAGGAGAAGCCCTGAGTTTGCCACTGGGTAATCATTCAGATAATATGTCCTTACTAGGAATTCCAAAATTGAAGCACTTATTAAACCTAAGATATTTTAAACTAATTAAGAGGGTGTTAATTTCTATGCCTTGGAATCACTGGTCAAATGAATGTATAAGAAGTATATTTTTCTACTGTAAGTAAAACAAAGACTTGGGTTAAGGAAAAAATACACAAACCAACCAACATCAGAATAGTGGGAAGCATTTTAAGGTCAAATTCAAGATCGAGGAAAGGTACTGTGGCTGGTGGTGGGGAATGGGTGGGCACACAAGAGTGGGAAGAACGCTGCAGAAATAAGGGATGCAGCCCCACCCACACCACAGAGCTGAAGATGGAGCATGGGGCCTCGCACAGGCTGGCAAGTGCCCTCCACTGAGACACACTGCCACCCCATGGAAACTTTGTTTTTTTTTGTTCTTTTACCTTGAATGTGAAATTTGCATCGAAGATCAGATCTTTTTCATGCCCTGTGATTCCACCTTTGTAAACAACTTGGCACCTCTTAGCTGGTTCTGTCTTAGGGAGTTTGAAGAGTCGGAACGTGGCAGACACAAAGCGACAGTCACCTGAAAGCAGACACACAGGGCTCACTCACCTCCTGCACCCCAGCGGCATTCCACAAAGGAGGACCGAGCAAACAGTAAAGGAGATTTTCTTCACTGTGTGCATTCAGTTATCTCTGGGCGCTTCAGGCTGTTTAGTGAAGGGTTCCAAATACTTTATAGATGCCACTCTGAGGGAGGAGCCGATTATCCAGGAGACAAGGTGGACACTAGCAGATGATGCAGTTTCCCTTGGTAAGAATCACTCATTAAGGGGGCTGGAGAGACAGCTCAGTGGTTAAGAGCACCAACTGTTCTTCCAGAGGACTGGGGTTCAATTCCCAGAACCCACGTGGTACCTTACAACTGTCTGTAACACCTTCACACAGACATAAAAAGAAAGAAAGAAAGAAAGAAAGAAACACTAAAGTAACTAACTACTGAACTAAAGCCATTCCCACTGTAGCCACAGAGTCCAATGCTATTGTTTCTTACCAATTATACTTTCTAGTTCCTTGTTCTGAACTGTAATGATATTGGCAGTGACCAAACGTGGAGAGCAGAACCCAATTTTTTGGGCAATAATGGCAAGATCCTTCCAGTACAAAGCACCACCTAGGCATTCGCCTGAAAAGAAAAATTACAGATCAATCAGGGTACACAGCAGCACAACTAACTAGGACATAGTGTTACCAGGTAGGGCCTAACTGGCCATGGAGGTGCCCGCCTGTAATCCCAGCATGTGGGGGACAGAAGCAAGACAATGGCAGTCTAAGATCATCCCAATGAGTGTGAGACCCTTTCTCAACAAAACAAAACCACAAGAGCTAGGGATGTAGCTTGGCTTACCTAGCATGCTCAGAGTCCCAGATTTGACCCCCTGCACCAGCACCACATAAGAGAAAACGGGGTGGCATATACCTGTAATCCCAGCACTCGGGAGGGGTAATGAAGAGTTCAAGGCCAGCCTGGGCTACACGAGACATTGTCTCAAAACAAAAAAGGTAATAGTAATAATGAAGATAATAGCTGGGCATGGTGGTGCATGCCTTTAATGCCAGAACTAGGGAGGCAGAGGCAGGTGGATCTCTGTGAGTTTGAGACCAGCCTGGTCTACAGAGCAAGTTCCAGGACAGCCAGAACTATACAGAGGAACCCTGTCTCTCTCAAAATACCAGGAAAGAAAATGAAAAAAAAAAAGATTATTATAATAAATTTAAAACAAAAGAATAGGCCCTTGAAGCATCCATTAGGCCTAGGGAGTGATGATTAACCCCAGAATTTGTCAGCTAATGGTCTCTGAGAATCAGGACAGTCCTACTAAGACACAACTATAACACTAGTGTGTGAGTTAAGTCATACTCTGAAAGGAACTGTGAATGGGAATAAAATGGCATAAAAGCTGCCTCTTAGCTCCAGAAGAGACTCATAATGATCTACTACTAGAACAATAATTACCACTAACATTCACAAGGAGTTTTACAGATTCTTTTCAAATGCAAAGATATTCACACAAGTTTTAAATGTCATGTCAATAAGTTGGAGACAAATGTCATGGTCACTGGTAAACAAACACTTCAAACTGAACAGCACAGTTGTGTTACATTGTTTGTTTATACATGTTTAGACTAGAGCTGGAGAGATGGTCCTGAGGTTGAGAGTACTTGCTATTCTTCTAGAGGACCCATGTTTGGTTCCCAGAACCAAACGTAGCAGCTCACAGTTGTCTAGAACTCTAGTTCTAGAAGACAGGACACCCTCATATTCCCTGTGCATTTGGTACATGGACCTGCATGTAAGCAAAATATCCACAATACATAAAATAAAATTTAAAAGGGTTTGGACTTAGGAAATACATTTTTTTGTAATTTTAGAAATGTTTTGTTTTAATTATTTTGCTTATTTACTGTCTTACTTTTTTGGAGATAGCCTCTCACTATGTAGCCTTAGCCAGCCTAGAACTTTCTATGTAGGCCAGGCCTTGAACTCATAGAGATCTGCCAGCCTCTGACTCCCATATGCTAGAATTAAAGGTGTGAAACAATACTTGGCATATTTATGTATGTATATATGTATTTGTTTGTGTGTGTGTATGACAGCACATGAAGAGGCCAGGTGACAACTTCCAGAACTTGGTTCTCTCCTTTTACCATGGGGATTGAACTCAGGTTGTCAGATTTAGCAGCAAAGCCCCTTTACCCACTGAGCCATCTCTTCCCAGCCTGTGTATTTTTTTCTTGGGTGGGGCCCTAATGCCATCGGACACATACAGAGAGCAAAGGTCTATTCTCTCCATGCACCTTTTTATGAGCTCTGGAGACTGAGCTCATCAGGCATGTAAGGAAAGTGATTTTACTTCCTGCTTTTAACACTATCCATTTATATTACTGTAATAAGAAAAAAGTTAACACAATCCGTTTTAAAAACGAGATGTGTTTTTGAGACTGTCTCATCATGGCCAGCTTTGAATGGCCACTTGCTCCATCTCTGAAGAGCTGAGATCACAGGCATGTATCAACTTAAAGCAAAAGTTGTTACTTTCAGTCAGACTGATCACGAACATGCATTTCTCTCCTCAACTTCTAGAGACTCTTAAATGACAATAAAGTGATAAGTATCTTATTTATTCTTCAAAATAGTTTTTTTAAGTCTGATGTTATTTTCACTTTACAGCCTAGAAAACGATAAGAGAGAACTTATTTGCCTGAGATTATATCACGTTTTTTAAAAAAAAAAGTTTATAGTGTTTGGGGGGGCACGAGGGCATGTGTCACCTGTCATCTGTCAGAGGATGGCTCTGTGGGCTCTTCCACCTTTACAGGAGTTACAGGGATCGATCTCAGATTGCCAGCCTTGAGCCACAAGTGCCTCTACCCAGGGATCCATCTCACTGGCCTTCATATTGTTTCTGGGTGGTAGGGAAAGAATAGCTCCTTCTTGCTTTACACCACTTTCTCTCCATCCAATGGCCTCACCCCAACTTCCTTGCAGGATGGAGCTCTACGCTAGTCAATAATCATTGATGCCAATAAAACAAGAACACATACCCCATAAAACCTTGTGTGACTTGATGTCTTCTGGCACTTCAAGGCTAGCATAGACGTCACTGAAGTATAGCTCCCCACCATACTGAAAAAGAGCAGGGCACAATTTGGAGCAAGGTTAAAGATTGCATTGGTCCCAGATAACAAAAAAAATTGATGAGTTCAGGAGTTCAACTTCAAAATTCCAGTGCCTGAGCTGATACTGACCAAGCTGACCTTTGAACATTAAAATCAACACACAGGGACAGAGGCATTTAATTTCTCCAGTGTCCTATCCAACACAAAGTTGTTTTCTAAGACTCAGAAAGGAAGGAGTAAACATGAAGTTTTTAAATAAAAAAGAACACATGAGGGGGGAAATGTCTCTCCCAAATACATTCCAGGTTGCCTAAATTTTTAGTAAGTCCAAACAGAACATAGCTTTAGATGTCTAGACAGCTAACAGACACATCCATAAAATTAACAGTCTTATCCCTTGAAAATTATAGTAATTGAGTTATAATGGTGGCACCTGCCTTTAATTCCAGCACTTGGGAGGCAGAGGCAAACAGATCTCTGTGAGTTCAAGGCCAGCCTGGGCTACAGAGTGAGTTCCAGGACAGCCAGGGGCTACACAGAGAAACCCTGTCTCAGAAAAAGTGAGAAAGAGACAGAGAGAGAGAGAGGAAAGGAAAGGAAAGGAGGAAGGAAGGGAGGGAGAGAAGGAGGGAGGGAGGGAGAGAGGGAGGGAGGAAGAAGAAAGAAAACTACAATAATGAAGCTAGCCAGTAAAGGTGCATACCTTTCATCTCAGCACTCAGGAGGTGGAGGCAAGAGGATTTCTAAATTGGAGGCCAGCCTGATCTCCATCATGAGTTCTAGAACAGCCAGGGCTGTACATAGAAACCCTGTCTCAAAAATTAATTAATTAATAAAAGAAAGAAGGAAGGAAAAGAACAGAGATATTATTAAACATTAAATTTTGTATATGTCCTTAACATCTAAGTGAAAGGAGCCCTCAGGAATTTAAGGTGTTATTTAGCTAATTTCAAAAGTGTGGACACCTGTATTCAATAGCAATGTTTAGCTTCTCTTAGTTGACCTCAGTGAAAATCATGGACTGGTGTACAAAATGGCATCCTTGAAATAACATGAGATTGTTCTTACGCAGATACTTTAGATGTTTACTTTATTATTTTATGTGCCTAAGTGTTTTCCTGCATAGATATCTGTGCCCCAGTACCCCAGGGACCAGAAGAGGGCATCAGAGACCCTAGAACTGGAATTACAGATGTTTGGGAGCCACCATATAGGTGCTGGGAATTGAACCTGGATACTCTGGGAGAGCAGCCAGTGCTCTTAACCACTGAACCCCACCCCAGCCCTTAATAGATACTTCTATTTGAGCTATGTAATAGCCCCTTAAGCCAAAAATCCCAGAATTTGTATTTACAACACTTGGGATTGGGCCTTGGGTATGCTAGTCACCTTTTCCACTGAACTACACCTCCAGTCCTCCAAGCCCCAGAATGTCCCCCTTTAAAAAGGCATTCGTATACAATTTCTGTCTTAGATTTTCCAAAGATAAGATATCTTAGCATCAGAAATAGTATTACTGAGGAACAGGGTCTGTTCTAGGAAAAGTCAAATTCACAGAGACTTTTCAGGGTAAATCAACTGGTTCCCGGGATGCATCTCAGGTGTTACAGAGAGTCACAGTTAACAGCCACTAGGAGCAACAGGAAAAAAGGTAAATATTTCAGCGGTAGCCCCGCCCCACCCCGCCCAGCCCCACCTTTTGTGTACTTTTTGTGTACTAAATAATTGAGGTTGGCTTTGAACTCGCTACCTAGCAGAGGACCTGAACTGACCCTCCACCGTGACCAACTTGACCCCCTCTCAATCTGGTGGATAAATCAAGAGTTTGGATTCTTAGTTCCAGCAGAGAACATGACCCTGTCAGCCCTCTCTGGGGTTGAAAAATCATTCCTAGGGGAGGCATTACCCTTACTGAGGGGCGGATGGCAGGTGGGATGGGGGAAAGCAGGGGAGAGCATGAGGAGAGGACGGAGGGGTAACTGGGCTAGGGATGTAAACGACTAGTTAGTTAGTTAGCCTCCCTCACCTTCAGCGCCTGGTACACCTCCTGAAGCACTCGCGGTTTATCAGGGACAAGGCTGACAACACAGTTGGATCTAAAAATTAAGAAGGGGTTAAAAACGAGCAGATGTTGAAGAACTCAAATCCCTTAAGACCTAAAAGGGGCTTCCATTCACCATCAAAGCTACCTGATTCCTCCAGACTCTCCTATCTTCCTCATATTCAACTTTTCCCCCAAGATAAGGGAAATAGGCCATTTGTTTGAGGCGTATCGGTAAGCAGCCAGTGAGCACAAACATGACAGAATGAATATGAAATATGATTATTATTTTCGTCCTGATGTTCACCAGGCAACAAAACAAAACCTGGACTCAGATGCCTCTCATCTATCATGCAAGATGTTCGAGCCACATGAGAACAGACGAGTCCCTCAAAGGCAGCTTTCCCAATGTTTTCATTTGAGGATGGGTGTGTGGCTCAATGGTAAAACATTTCTTTAGGGTTCAATTCTCAGCATCAAAAGAAAAAACACAGCAGATCCTGTCACTTGGGCATGATTTAACGACAGCATGGGAAACAAAACACCATAATTTACCATTAAAAAAAAGAGAGAGAGAGACGCAGTCATGGGTAAATGTGGTGGTGTATGGCTTCACTCAGGAAGCAAAGGCAAGTGGATCTTTGTGCATTCAAAGTCAACCTGGTCTGCATGGCAAGTTCCAGGCTAGTCATAACTACATGGTGAGACCCTGTCTCAAAGCAAGCAAAACAAAAAAGAATACCACACACATGGTGGTAATTTGGCAAGATTACCATAAAGCCTGTTATTGTCTAGTAGTGCAGCAGCCAGATCAGTGCCATAGTGCATTAGCCAAGTGTTTGTGAGGCTGGTGCCAACACCTTTACTGGCTGCCAGTTACAGAAGCGTATAGCACATAGGTGATGCACAGTGCTGCCACCAGCCTTTGTTTACTATACTTTTATCTGTTTTACGGTGAACTTACTCTGCTTACAAAATGACGCGCTATAAAACAGTCTGCTAGGCTCTTTCAAAAGTCTGGAGTGACTACCACAACCCTGGATAGCTCTGATAGCCAGTTCGTAGGGCCCCAGTATCAATAGGCTGGCTCTTTTGTACACACCACATAGCCTAAGTGTGCAGTGGGCTCTATCATCAAAGTCTGGGTAAGTACACACGGACATTCACACAATTAGGAAACGCTCCAATACAAATTTCTTACAACGTGACCCACCATCACAGTCCACATATGTGTGGTCGGTATGTGTTACAGGAGAGCAGGCTGTGGTCTGGCTGATCTGGGGAGCTCACTGACTTTAGCTTGGTGGGCAGGAGTATTGACAATGCAACATGAAATTTCTCTTATAAGCATATACCGGCAAAAGCACACTTGTGTGGCAAACAAACAAACAAAAAACAATAAAACCTCATAATAGTTTAAGTTTATGCTTTTGTGTTGGGCTGTATCCATAGCTATCCATGGCCAAATGGTTGTGCCAGAGGCTAGACATGCCTGAATTCTCTCTCAGGCAGCTGTGTTTTGTTGTAATGGTCTGCAGAGAGCTCATTACCGTTCCCTTCCTTTATGAAGGCCTGCTAAGTTCACTTTAATTACTTTTTCTTTTTTAAGCTTTCTAAACATGTTTATTTTTATTACATGTGAAATGGTGCTTTGCCTGCATGTGTGTCTGTGTGAGGGTGCGGGATTCCCAGGAACTGGAGTTACAGACAGCTGTGAGCTGCCATGTGGGTGCTGGGAACTGAATCTGGGTCCCCCCGGAAGAGCAGCCAGTGCTCTTAACTGCTGAGCCATCTCTCCAGCCCCTAGTTTAATTCCTTAAACAGAGAGTCAATTCATCAAAGAGTGGTAGCATTTGTGTGCTCAACATGACACGGGCTTCACTCATAGCAGAAAGACTGTATGTAGCCCTACATAACGATATCGTAGCTCTCCTTCTGGACCCCGGCCTCTGCCAGCTTCTCAATGCAGCCTTGAATAAAAGTCACATTGGGTGCCTGGAAACCAAATTTTTCCATGTGGTACTCAAGATAGGTTTTAGCCACTTCCACCTGGAGAAAGAAAAATACAGATTTGGTGATCAGCATTATTCAAAAATAAATCTTTCCTATTACGAATGCCATGTGCTTCCCCTGTGAGACATGTAAGACATGCAACAGCCTGGGACAGAGGTTCCCAACTTTGTGAGTCCTGCTTGAGTTAACCTCTTTCCAATGACAAATCTTTCTGGACAGAAGGGTAAAGAAAGGAGAAGAGGAAGAGCACCTGGGTCATCTATCAGGTTAAACCTCTGAGTGACTTATCCGGGACAGTCACTGATTGTCACCGTCTTCAACTCATCTAGGTCACCAGAGGCACAAATGACAGCAACCAAACCCGCAGCCTTCTTAAGTACCGCGAAGAACAGCGGGAAGAACCTTTGCCTTACCTGGACCTTAGTCATGTCTATCCCAGTGACATGTCCCTTCTCGCCAACTAGCTGGCTAAGCATATAGCAATCTCTGCCACTTCCACAACCCAGATCCAAAACCTGGCAGCTTTCCAGGCGCTCAGGGACAACCAGACCACAGCCATAATACCTGAGAAATGGAAAAGACATGCTTTAAAAACAGACTAGAAAATTCTCAGATGGGAAATGTATACTTCCCTCCCTCCGCTCCTCCATCATCCACGGATATTTCTGTTTTGTCTCTCCCACTAAACGGGGGCCTTGTCTGCCCTAGCACAGTATTGCTGGGCACCATGCAAGGTGGCAAGACTCAAGAAAACCATCTAAAACATTTGTTGAATAAATACATCTAAGGCACTGACAGGAAAAGTATTCTGATCCCTAGGTGCACGTTCTGTAACTTGAGAGGTAAAAACTACAGTGTGGAAAACCATTCCCATGATTGACTGACAGGCGTGAGAGCCGCTGGGAATGGGCAGTGAGGGCCTCTGGGAGCCGGTGCTGTAGTGGTTGGGGAAGAAGGCTTCCTGACCCCAGCAGGCCTTCAGTGAGGTGTTGGAGATGCAGGTACGGTAACTGCTCTCTGTGTGGGCAATATTATGCCAGGGAAAGGCAAGACGAAGGAGCCATGGCCGTTCAGAAAGTGTGAACCAATCTATTAACAACGTGAACCTCTGTCAGGGTCCAAGGAGCCTGAATGTCTCCTGCAGTGGGGAGGGATTCAGCGGAGGAGCAGGATAGCCAACAGAGAGGGCTAAATTCTCAAGTGACCAGTTCGGGAAAATTGCAGTCTGGAGATTGCATGACCTGGAAGTAACGTCTTCATGGACATTCTTCAGAGTTTCCTGGATGTACTTGGGGACCAGCGTGGCCTGGGTGACACAGGCATTAGTCTGGAGGTCTGCAGATGTCTTCAGTACATCCCCGTAGTAGTTCTGACTCAACAGCCAAGGAAAGGAAGCCAGGAGAAAAAAGACTAGAGTTGTTGCCTGCAGAGCTCAAGGCCTTTGCTCAGGGCGAATTCTGACCCTGACCTCTCCTCCCCCAGGGTGCGCTGTGAGAAGCTGCTTGCTGGCAAGACTCCCGTAAACCCAGCGACCCCACACAACCATTCCCTAGGACCCGCACCTGAACGTCCTTGCGGATCTCAGCGTCTCGGGGAGCGGCCACTGACAAGAGAGAGAACAGAGGCTAAATGGGGTTACCACACTGAGAGGGCCCGGGCTGCGGGCAAGATGGAGGGAGGGCAGCACGCAGGGCAGAGAGGAAAGGAGCCCAGGCCTTCAGCCAGGCACAGGCAGCCCTACTGGGCTGCCCAGAGGGAGCGGCAGGGTGGGGGTGGTGTGGGCCTGTGGGAAGGCAGAGGTCACCAAGGGGACTAGGCAGAAGGCAGGAGGGACAGGTACTCACTGATTCACCCACTCCTGGGGTTACCCCTCCACTTCGCTAGAGAGCAGCGCGCCGAGGCCCCGCCCCTGGCTGACCTGCAACCGCGCAGCCGTGCAAAACCCTCCCACGGCCATTTAGCCCTACACACCGCTTGCTGGGTCTCATTGTCACCTTGGAGTCCTTGCATCCTGTACAATGGTTTTATTAGTTAACATCTTCCTTTACTGATCCACTGAGTTTCATTTATAAACTCTGTGTGTGCCTTAAATGAACACCCATATCTATTTTTCTCCTTGTGTAATGCAATCACCTTTCTTCTGTCCGGCTCATGAAGTTGTTCACTGACGTGTCATTTATATCTCTAGCATTCAGCTGCCCTCAGCACACAGCTCTGTGAATTCTGCGGTCATCAAGCATGATGCTGTGCCTTTAACTGCAGCACTCAAGAGACTAGAGACTGGGCAAAGGCAGGAGGATCTCTGAGTTTGAGGCCAGCCTGATCTATGAAGCTAGTTCCAGGACAGCGTGGGCAACATAGGAAAATCACCCAGGGTTACACAAGATTGAATCAGTCTAAAAGAGTAACAGAACTCGCACCTTTAATTCCAGCACTAGAGCGATAATAAAAGATAGGAGCAGGGTCTTCAGGAGTCAGTCTCAGGAGTCTCCAGCCAGGTTACAGAGAGCATAACAGTCCGAGTGAATCTGAGGAGCAGCGAGGTCAGGGGCAGTCTGAGGATGGCCCCTTTGGTCTTAGATGAGGTAGAGGTGAGAGCTAGTGGCTGGCTGCTTTGCTTTTCTGATCTTCAGCTTGAAGCTTGAATCCCAATATACCATTCTCTGGGTTCTTTGGTTTATTCCTGCTGAGCCACCTAGCCAGCCAGGATGTATTTTTAAACAGTGTTTCTGTTCCCACCATTACATGTGTATGCCTTTTAAACTGTTTGGTTTGTGCCTATGTGCGAGAGCACCGTGGCCCATGTATGGAGACAGGTGACTTTCACAAGTTAGTTCTCTCCTTCTACAGTGGGTCCTGGGAATCCAGCATCAGGCTTGTGTGCAAATGCTTCTAGCTTTCACAGCTCTGCCCTCTCAACCACCCTGCATTTGATTGTATGACTTACTTGCTTTGTGGTTGAATCAAAGATTGCTATTCATCAAGATAAATAAAAGGATGTCTAGATAGCAAAGTGCACTCTTATGAAATTATCTTTCTGTTTTCAATCCAATGTCATTATATATATGTGTGTGTGTGTGTGTGTGTGTGTGTGTATATATATATATATATATATATATATATATATATATATATATGGTTGAAATCCGCCTAGTAAGTTACCAAATTCCCTGTTGTCAATTAATTGTTATTGAAGTTAATAGGGTGACAGTGAGATGGCTCAGTGGGTAACAGTGCTGCCACCAAGACTCTGAACCTCATTTCCATCCCTGGAAAGCACTTGAGAACTGACTCCTGTAGCTTGTCTTCTGATCGCCACAATAAGACCACAGCATTCACACATACATGAATAAATTAATGTAAAGTTTTCTTTTAAATATTTAAAAACAAACCCAGGGTTGGAGTGATCTCAGTGGTTAAAAGCACTGGCTGTTCTTCCAGAGACCTGGATTCAATTCCCAGCACCCACATGGCAGTTCACAACTGTCTGTAACTCCAGGGGATCTGATACCTCACAGACACACATGTAGGCAAAACATCAATGCACATAAAATAAAAATAAAACATTAAGGGGCATCCCCTGAGCAGGTGTTGTGCAAGAAAGCTGGCTGGGCATGAGCAGAAGAACAGGTTTGGAAGCAGAGTTCTTCCACGATTTTAGCTTCAAGCTCCTGCCCTGAGTTCCTGCTCTAACTTTCCTTGGTTAAATAACTTGCTGAAAGTCACAGCTAATTGTTAAACACTCCAAAGTGTTTCCTCACAATTCAATATAGTTGGAGGATGGTTAGCATTCAATAAACACATACATTGCATGCTTTAAAAATATAAAAATAAATGTTTTAAAAATAAATAATTTTTTAAATGACCACTTTCATAGGCATCGTGTACTTTTTAGCACTTACATAACAAAAACAAAGCTCTTCTGAACAAAACATTCTCCCCATAAAATGAGCTGTTTGAACCAAGCAGTTACTTTCTCCTTGTTACAATGACATATTTGTGTCAGCCAGAAGACAGGGAGAGGATGTTCTCATCTTTGCTATCGTTTGCCTGTGGTTTAGTCACAAGAATCACTTGGTAATCACAGTAAGCACACCACTACCAACCTCAGTTACTGCCACCCTCCCTCCTGGTGGCAGGTACACTGGGCTGATTCCGGATGGGATGCTGACTAGCAATCATTCTGATAAGTCAGGGCCTCTGCTGACACGGTTGTATTCTGGCTTTAGAGGTGTTTCCTAGTGGTCAAGGTTGATTCCTGGAAATGACCCCAGAGTCATACACATATAGCCCCCGTGTTGTATATCATCTCTGCTGAAGGGCAGGCACTCTGAGCTCTTCAAGCAAGCTGTATCAAACAATAGCAAAATTAATCTCTTGAGGAAGTGAAACCCTGAGAAAGGGTCTTTACTCCAGGCTGGTCCCACTGTAGCTGAGGCCAGCCTTGGACTTCAGGTCCTCCTGCCCCCACCTCCCAGAAGCCAGGATTAAAGATTTAAAAAAAAAAAATAGGCCTGGGCTTCACCCCCACCCTGGCCACCCTGCTGGATCCATTGCCTGGGCCTGTGAGGATCAATGCTTGTGATTCTCAATGGAGAGTGAGAACACAGTTTCATGATGACAACCAGCCATCCCCATCAGCCACTGATTATCAATGGAGCCTGCCCCTTCTTATTCAAAATGCCCCCAGGTGAAACATCAGAGGAGGAAACAAAGAGACGCCCTGCCCAGCAGGAGCCAATCAAGCACAGGCCTCCCAGGAGGAGGCAGGGTCCAGTTCTTGCAAGTTTCCAGATGGAATCATGATTATTAACCACCCCATCATGCCCAACACACAGGGGGTGGCCATCCCCAACAATGCCCACATCCAGGGCATCACCACAGCACTAACCGCCAAAGGGAAAGAGAGTGGCAGCAGAGGCCCAACAAGTTCATCCTTGTCCTCTCACCCGCTTGGTCCCCAGCCTCAAGCTGAAACCAGCAGTGATTCCAAGAGGACAGACGTGATCCCCGAGACCAAAGCCAGCAGCTAAGGGCAAAACCAAACGACCTGGAGCCCTTCCAAGGCAAGACAGGAAAGATGTGTTGGCTGTGAAATAGTGGACTGCACGCTGAGCAACAGCTTAACCAACGTCCAGGGGCTGGGGAGATGAGTTCCGACCGGCTGGGTCCCTGCAGCATTAAGCAGGGGATAGAAGAGAAGGAGAATTGTCACCTGGAGTGGAATCGTGTTGAGGGGCCCTCAGGAGCATCCACGTCTTGGCAGGACTCTGCGTCTGAGGGGCCACCTTACTCTTTCACGGACATGATACAGTTTGCAATCAGCAGCCTTGAAGGACATCCACTTGGATGGAGGACCACTTCCCCTACTTTAAGCACACTGCCAAGCCAGGCTGGAAGAACTATTCATCATGACCTTTCTCTCCACGACATGTTTGTTCTGGAGACATCTGCAAGGTCTCTTTCTGGAGCATTCACCCAAGTGCCAATTGATACTTGACATTAGACCAAGTGTTTAAGCCAGTGACCCAGGCTTTCCACAATTGCCCAAGCACTTGGAAACCTCAGCAGAAACAGCCCAATCCTGAGCTCTGTAGAAATGTGACCATAAAAACTGAACTCCCAATGGGTGCCCATCAAAAGATGAAGCCCCTGCTCCCACGGGTCGGCTCATACCTGGTGCCCATCCAGTTCCCAGTGAACCAATCTCTGGTGTTACAGCCCTCGGTGAAGATGCCACTGCCTCTGGCAGCTTCAAGCAAATTCAAACTGCACCCAAAGTACTGCTAGCCAATGAAGGGTAACCTTACTTCTTGCTGCAGGACCAGTGAAGGAGGAGAAACCCCTGCTTGAAGAAGGGCTATTGCCTTTGCTCCCTATTCAGTCCATTAAGGAGGAAGAAATCCAGCCTGGGGAGGACTTGGCACACTTAGAGAGGCCTAGCAAAGCGGAGAGCCCTCCCTTGGAAGGGTGGCCCTCTCCATGTGCATCACTGAAAGAGGAACTATCCAATTCCTGGGAAGATTCTTCCTGCTCTCCCATCTCAAAGCCTAAGAAGTCCATCATTGGGCTCAAGTCCCCAACCTGGAGCGTCTCAGGTGACTAAGTGAAGAGAGAAGAGGAAGGTGAGCCGGTCTCGGAGGAAACAGCACCTTTGACTCTGGATGAGCCTGAACTGCTCTTTTCAGAGGACCCCAGCACATTGCAACCAGCCATGCAGTCCCTACTCCTGGCAGATTCTTCAGAGCCTGCATCCCAGCTCAGCTGCCCTCAGGAGGAGGGAGGACCCTTTGAGACCCCCATCAAGGAGACACTGCCCATCTCTTCCACTCCTAGCAACTCCATGCTCACCAGAACCCCTGAGTCCTGTGGGCTGACACCCCCAGCCAGAGTTGGGGGGGTTAGATCTCAGCCCAGTCAAACCCCTCAGGGTGCCTTTGGCCCCTTGCCTGACTCCCTGGGGCTGATGGAGCTGAATACCACACCTCTGAAATGTGTTCCCCTTTTTGACTCACCCCGGGAGCTCAACTCAGAACCCTTTGACCTTGCCTCTGACCCCTTTAGCAGCTCTCTGCCCCCACATCTGGAGGTCCCCAAGTCAAGCTCCCCCCCCCCCCAGCCTCAGGACCCCAGCCTTTCAGCCAACCATTCTCTCACAGAAAGTCTGGTCCTGAACACAATGAATGACAGCCTCAGTAAGTTCCTTCTGGACATCAGCTTCCCTGGCCTGGAGGAGGACCCTGTGGGCCCTGACATCATCAACTGGTCTCAGTTCATCCCTGAGCTTCACTAGAAGCCAGGCCTCACCCTTGTCACTCAAGCTGCCCACTATCCTGGCACCTATGTGGCTGGTTAGTGCAAGGCTCAGTGTACCCCAAGTCCTGGGGGGAGCTAGCGGGCAAGGGCGCAGCTGTGCCCTTACCTAATTATGCCAAGACGGTAGTCACATCTAAGCCACCGCTCACCGGCTGCTCCTGGCAGGGTAGCCCTTGTAAATGCTGTAAGCCCCAAATTGTCCTCTAATTATAAAGTAAGCTTATTTCCTTAGGTCATTATCTAGAGACGGCCAGGGGTGGGTAGGGGGACAGGGGTGCACTTTGCTTGTGTCCTGTGGGGGAGGGACCTGCGGTGCAGTTTCTTCCACACTTGTGGGTTCTGCTGTAGACACCCAGACACACAGGTTGGCCTGCCAGGTCCCGCTTACTGTCCTTTCCTGACACCCCCACGCTTCCAAGCCAGTGGTCCTGCAAGAAGAAATGTGCTGTAAAAGCTCGTTGGAATGGGTGTGTGGGGGTGGGTATGCCACTCACATGAGTCCTGTGAGGTGTTTCTCTGATAGTGTTCCCGGTCATGCCAGAGAATCTAGCCTTGAGAGCCCAGGCTGAGGCCTGAGCAGGAGGAAGCCACCCTGAACTGCCACCCTAAGCTCCAATACACAAGCGAACATAATGACACTACTGTAACTACCTACTGAAAAAAACCCAGGGTGGCAATACATACATAAATTTAAAGAAAAAAGATGTTTTAAAAAAATTATCAGATACAGAAAATTTCCCGTTTTTTTTCCCCCTTATCTCCAAGGATGGTCTTGAGAAGATTGCCACACACTTTTTTGGAAAACTATTGGGCTAGCAATTGTAGGACAGACCAGGAAGGCAGATTTTGGTCAAATGCCCAGAGCCATGTTTCAAGATATAAAGCTTTAGTCTGGCAAGAAGGCTCAGCAGGTAAGGGCCTTTGCAAGCAAGGCTGAAGTCCTGAGTTTGGCCACCAGGACCCTCATGATGGAAGGGAGAACTGATTTCCACTAGTTACCCCTCTAACCTCCACATGTGCTTGCCCCCTCACCCCCTCACCCCCTCACCCCCCACACACACACACACGAACACACAAACACGAACAGAAAATGTGAGGTAATGTTTCACTACATAGCCCTGGCCACCCTGAACTTTTTTTGTAACTAGAAAACAAAGCAGAGCTTTCAAAGGGAGCCAGATCCCTAAGAGTCTTCAAAGGCCGAAGAGATGGCTCCGCACTTAAGGGCACTTGCTGATCTTCCAGAGGATCGGAGTTCGATTCCCAGAATCCACATGATGGCTCACAACTACCTGGAACTCCAGCTCCAGGAGATCCAACACTTGTGGTCTCCTTAGGCACTACACACATGTGATACATAGACATACATTCAGGCAAGACATCCATACACATAATTTTAAATGAAAATCACATTTTCTTTAGCAAATCAATTGTAATTATTTTAATGTTTATTTTTATGTGTATCAATATGTATGTGTGTGTTCAGGCATGTATATAGGAATGCAGGTATCTGAGGGACCCAGAAGAGGACATTAGATCCCTTGAAGCTATAATTACAAACAGTTGTGAGCTGTCTGAAGTAGGTGCTGGGAACTGAACCTGGGCCTTCTCCTAAAGCACCAAGTGTTTTTAACTTTTGATCCATCTCAGCAGCTTTTAATGGTCATGTTTTATATGCTGGAGTGTATGGAAAAGGTCTGTTCTTTGCCAGTTTGTGGAATTCATAGAAATGGCAAAACAAGCAAATGCCATTTTAGCTGCCACACTTCCTTAGCACTTTGTGGGTTGTTTCTCATAATTGATCTGATACTTTGTTTAAAATACTAGTTTTGTAATGTCATGTCTTTATAAGGAGCCAAACATTTTTACATTGACCAAATTTTTAGCATTAAGCTGAGAGAGAACTGCTTTCGAATCTAATTCATTTTATATATAAATGTGTCACTGACACATTTATTAGTTTATACTTTATTGGTTGAGGCGACACTTTTACAAACTAATCTGTAACAATTACAGTTTTATATCTTTTTAGACTTTCCGTTTTGTTTGAGACCCCCCTCTATGTACTTCATTTTTTTTAACTTTATTTAATTATCAGCAGATCTACTTGCAAGACCTTACTTCCAAATGTGAAGGGAATGGAATGGCTATAAAGGATTACAAAATGAACCAAGGTCACTTAATCAAGAGTCACAGGAAAAAGGAGGCAGGAATAAAGGTCAAGGCAAGGGGCTGCAGCTGGCCAGAGAGGATGTCCCTGACCTGATTTTTATGTAAGAATCTGCTGTGACTATGAAAGGAAACAACAGCCATTATCCATGTTTTGTGTCCATTAAATGAAAATTCTTGAAAGAATGGTGAAATGTCTTTTAAAATTCTCACATGTTCACAATAGAAGCCCCTCCCTCTGTCCCTTCTTCTTGGAGACAGGAAGACTGTATTGACCTGGATGGTCTCAACTTCCTGGGCTCAAGAGATCCCCCTGCCTCAGCCTCCCAAGTACCTGAGACTATCTGTTACTCAGTGGCTAGGTGTGGTGATTTGTCATCCCAGCACTTGAGAGACAGCAGCAGGACTGTGAATTCAAAACCAGCAGGCTACACAGGGACCCACTGCCTCAAAAGCAACAACAAAAAAAAGATAACCAATGTGTTTATGGATCACGTTAGACAATACAGCAATACAGCTTTTAGCAAGCTAAGGTGTCTTTTATTTTCAGTGCTAATGATTGAACTTATTGATTTTAATATGAAATTAAATACAACTTAAATATCTGATAAGAACATGGGTCAATTCAATTTAAGAAGCAATTCCAAGGACAAACAGTGATGGTGCACGCCTTTCGTCTCCATACTCAGGAGTCAGGGGCAGACAGATCTCTGAGTTAGTTAGGGTCAAGTCTGGTCTACAGAATGTGTTCCAGGACAGGCAGGGTTACACAGAAAAACCTTGTCTCAAAAAAAAAAAAAAAAAAACCAAAAAAAACCCAAAAAACAAAATAGTGATTCCAAGTTCAATCACCTGGCTTCTTTTCACAAGTCTTTTCCACATGAACTTTTGGAGATGAAAATGGAAACCAAGCCCATCGTGATGGCTGTGTAAAATGGATGCCCGTCAGCAGCAGGCAAAGAAGTCAATTACTGTTATGACATATGACATGCTACTTCAATAAATGACTCAACTGGTCCTGTAGGTCAGGTGACTGTTCAACACTAGAAATCAAAAAGAGAAAAGGGTTGTCTGAAGAGAGCAGGAAAGACATTTCTTTGTATGGTCTATCCTTTAATGCATCAATCTTGTTACACCTACGTCAAAATTTGCATCAGTCCACTTGGGCCTCAGAGGTGTTTAAATTCTGAGTCTGGCACTGTGGCACAATCGTTTGTCCCATCACTCGGGAGGCTAAGGCAAGGGGAGGGTCACTTGAACCCAGGTGTTTGAAGCCACCATGGGAATACAGCATGACTCCATCACAAGGCTGGGGAGGACAGTAGACTACGAAGAAGGGTTTGTGTGCAGGCACACATCTGTAACCAACCACTCAGGAAACGGAGGCAGGTCTGTGAGTTCAGGGTTAGCCTGGACTACATAGTGAGAGGCCTTACATTTAAAAGAAAAGAGGCTTACAAAAACTTAATATCGCTAATAAAATTAATGATTTTAACATGTTTGCTCTATTTATGAATATTACCAGTATGAACAGATGTCTATTCCTAAAGGTGACCTCTATAGCCTTCCAGAACTTAACAGGCAGTGAATCCAGTTTCTGCACACCTTTAAAATACACCATGTTCTTCAAATTCTAAAAAGCTCTCCAGAGCATGGTCATTTAAAGGCACGTGTCACCCAGTTTTCCAGTGATCCTAGGTACAGCAGTGCCATTCCCAGCATGCTTCAGTCAGCCCCACCCACCACCTCTGAGGTGCCACTCCCAGCATGCTTCAGTCAGCCCCACCCACCACCTCTGAGGTCACTTACTTCTTCTGAATAGCTTCTTGCCTAGGTTGGGAAGGGTAAAAAAAGGAAAGAAACAGGGAGACCCAGTGAACCAAGAGAAGTTATCATCAATAGATCACACAGGCAGAATAAATATTCCTAGCTTAAACTTAGTATAATTACGTGAAGACTAGTAACCACACAATTAATATATACACACCTAAAAACAGCTTCAACATTAGCTCTGACAGACTTGAATTCTCAGCCACATAATCCCAATAGGGTATGCAAGCACCTTATCAACCATACAAAATACAAGAAAAAAATACAACAAAAGGCAAATTCAATTATAGTTTTCTTCAAAATTACAATGAAGGCACTGTCTATGCATAAGAACCTCAAAGATTTTTTTTGTGTTGCTGGTGCTGTGTTATATGCAGGATGCCCGTTACCCACACTCCAGTCTCCAGGAGAGGAAAGACACTGAGCTCAGAGTGGACAGATTCTGACCAAGGTCTCCCAGGTGCCCGCAGGGTGGTAACCTGCTTCTGTAAGCTCCGCCCCCATGGGTTCTTCCCCTGTAGAGCTCCCAGTTATCACAGGCAAGTTCAAAACAAGTGGCTCCAGCTCCACACTCCCATCTCAACGTTCCCTGAAGCCTCAGCATCTTTCCCCTTGATCAACCGACCCACTTCCATCCCACTCCCGCCACCACCTCACCCTCTCACCTCTCCCCACCCCCACCTCCATGGAAAGATGCGCTGATGCAGGAAAAAAAATGGTGAGCTCAGGCTGAGGGTAAGGATGCTGCAGTCAGTGACTGCTGGTTACGGCATACTCACTGGTACTGAAGATGTGTCGTTATTATTGCCATTTTCCTTAAACTCTGCAAAATACAGAGAGAAATAGAATTGTCCACTCCCCTGTGGTCATAAAACCACACACACACCATACACCATCGGGGGGGGGGGGGGAAAGAGGGACTGTTTCTTACATCTTCTGAGTGCAAGATGGCATCCTCCTGTAGGACCATGTTTCGAGCTGCCTGGCCCAGCAGCTGGAAGACAGAAATAAAACAGTTATGATTAAAATCCCCACCTCAGACACTGACCTAGGAAAGCTGAGGCAAGAGGGTCACAAGTTCAATGCCTGCCTGAACTACAGTAAGGTTGGGTAATTTAGTGAGGCTCTGTCTCAAAATAAGAAAATATAAAAATGGATGTTGACTTAGCTTGGCAGGTCTGCTTCAATCCCTAGCACGGAGAAAGGAAATCCATCTCACTGGCACAATGGCAGTTCTGATACAGGCTCCACACATACAGTCTCCTCAAGAATCAGGGTTCCATAGCTACCAAGCTCTCCACACAGCCTGTTCACCAAGTACTGGGAGAAGTCAGAAAAACTGCTTTGGCTGGACCACTAACTTCAGGAGCTGGAGCGACAGCTCAGTAGCTAAGAACACTTGCTGCTCTTACAGAGGACAGCAGGTTCCCACACACACATGATTTATCACAACCATCCATAGCTCCCAGGCAAGGGATCCGATGCCCCCTTTTGACCTCTGCATTAACCAGGCACACACATAGTACACATACATACACACAGATAAAACATTCATACACATAAAATTGTATACATCTAAAAACAAAAACAGAATTTGGCTGAGGCTGAAGTTTAGTGGGTGTAGGATGCCTGCCTCAGGTGAACGAAACCCTGGGTTCGATACCAAGTACTGCATAAACTGGGCATGGTGGCACACGCCAGGAATCCCAGCATGCTAGAGTAGAAGCAAAAGGGCTAGAAATGTAATGTACCTCCCGGTACACAGGGAGCTCTGTACTGGTGGGCTCCATGAGACCCTGCTCCAAGGAGAAAGAATAAAAGTGGGGGGGGCAGACTTAAGGGTCTGTGGGTCAGCCAGGTGCAGGTTGTGGCACACACTTTTAATCCCAGCACTCAGGAGGCAGAGTGGATCTCTGAGTTTGGGGCTGGCCTGGTCTACAGAGTGAGTTCCAGGACAGGCAGCACCACAGAGAAGCCCTGTCTCAAACCTCTCCCACAAGTCTGGGGATACAAAGAGAGAAAATGTGAAGAAAAAAGGCCTGCGAAGAAGAAGCTTAAGGACTGGGGGAATCTATCTACAAATCAGTGGGGTGTGTGTGTGTGTGTGTGTGTGTGTGTGTGTGTGTGTGTGTGTGTGTGTGTGTGTGTGTGAATCGCTGGCCATATGAAAGTGAGAGGGAGATCTTACTTTTCTATTGCTGTGAAGAAACACCATAACTAAGCAATTTATAAAAGCATTTAGCTGGGGATTTACTTAAAGTTTCAAAGGATGGGGCTGGAGAGACGGCTCAGGGGTTAAGAGCACTGGCTGCTCTTCCAGAGGACCTGAGTTCAATTCCCAGCAACCATATGGTGGCTCACACCCATCTGTAATGAGATCCGGTGCCCTCTTCTGGCCTGCAAGCAAACATGCAGGCAGAACACTGTATACACAATAAATAAATAAATCTTCTTAAAAAGATTTCAGAAGATGAGTCCATGACCATCATGATGGCAGGGAGCACAGCAGCGGACAGGCATTGTGCTGGAGCACCGCAGCGGGCAGGCATTGTGCTGGAGCAGTAGCTGAGAGCTTATGTCTTATCCACAAGTTGGAGGCAGAGAGACTTGATCTGGTTAGGCTTTTAAAATCTCAAAGCTCATCCCTAGTGACACAGATCCTCCAACAAGGCCACACCTCCTAATCTTTTTTTTTTTTCACACCTCCTAATCTTAAGCATTCAAATACATGAGCCTATGAGGGCCACTCTCATTCAAATCACATGAGAGAATCTCCTCAACTACTCTTTTAAAGCTCCAAATCTCACGCTACACCATACAGTTACAGCAGGACATTCAACCGAAAGCTCACATGAGTCTGCATCCTAGAGCATCTTTGTGACAAACGTGTAGAATCTTGATTCTGGTACAAGTTTTGTTTCATACTGCCACTTCAGCATTGCACAAGCGTTAACAATCACAAAGGCCCACAGTGACCCTCACTAGCACAAGACTCAACCGGAGTACCTAGAGCACAGGTGTGCAAGAGAACAGCCTGTTTACCACTCCTGGCTGCGGGAGAGAGTGCATTTCTCCTCACTTCCTGCACCCGCCAGACTGGTACCCAATCCTTGTACACATTCTCATCTCAAGGCCTGTCCAGTCCATGGTTCTACCTGCAACTCCCTGCTCTGGCCCTAGGTCTCCACATGCTTGCTGTGCATTTCAGTCCACTGCATGTGCAAGTGTCACTTTCCCAGAGACCCATCACCACTCTCTGCTCGGAGATTCATGTTCTTGATAATGTTTATTCACTATTTAAGCGTTGGGTGTTTCACTGGTTTTATTATGTCTCTCCCTTACAATGTGAGCATTGACTCTACCTTCTTTCCTTTTTAAAAATATTTACTACAGGCAATCAATGTGGCAGTGATTTTTTGGTATCATATCCAACTAGTCCCATGTAAGGTAAATTCCTTATGATGTTCAATATATACTAGTAGTCCAATATAAATCCATCTTTTAAAATTTTGGGGGGGATACAAGGTCCTACTATGTAGCCCTGTTTAAGCTAGAATGCACTATGTAGCCTTTGCTGGGCTAGAACTCTCTGTAGACTAGACTGGCCTCAAATTGAGAGATCTGCCTGCCTCCACTTCCCAAATGCTGGGATTAAAGGCATATGCTACTATACCCAGCTTTACAAAAATGTTTAGTTACATGTATGTATTCTGTGGAAGGGAGAGGGATTGGAGATAGAGAATAATTTTTGGAAGTTGGTTCTCTCCTTCAACCACATGGGCCCCAGGCTGGGATGGAACTCAAGTGGGTCAGCTTGACTACAAGCACCTTTACTGCTGAGCCATCCCACTGGCTCAAAACCCACCTCTTTAAAATTTAAACATATTTATACCATTTCTTCATCCAATTTGTTTATCTAGGGAAAAAAGTACGTGTATGCATTTGTATGATGTGTATGATACACATGCATTTCCTACAAAATAAATAGAATCTATAAGTCCCAAAAAAGAAAAGTCAATATGATTGCCAACAAAACTGACACACACAACTCAGAACACAGGAATTTTGCTCAATGATGATATAGTGTCATAAGGTGAAATCATAATGTGCATAATTTATACTTGGAAAAAGCATAGGAATTCTTTAAATTCTTCAAACCTTCTGACACTAAACTCTAAAAAACTGTGTCAGATGGGAACACACAAAGCATATCAGCAGAAAACAGCAGGTCAGTGAGCACAATTGTGGGTATAGTAAAGACAAACACTTCTGTACAGTTGGGACTCTGGTTTTGTAGCCACTGTCAGTAGAAGCTAGCCACACAACAGGCTTAAATTAATGAGTCAGACACTGTGAACATTCATACACAAACCTGATGGGGGAGGTCCCTCTGTAGGCTGGGAATATATATTGCTCTTATTCCCAGATGAATAAAACTATTTCAGTCGATGGACAGACAGGGCTACCTGACTAGAAGAATTCTGGGAAGAACACAGAGGGTGAGTCACCAGCGAGATGCCATGAAGCTGCCAAGGGAGTAAGAGCTCCAGGCATCACTGGTAAGCCAAGACCACGTGGAGATACACAGATTAATAGAAATGGGTTAATAATTAAGAGAGAGATAGCTAGTAAGAAGCCTGAGTCGTTGGCCAAACCTTTCATAATTAATACAAGCCTCTGTGTGATTATTTGGGACTAAACAGCCACAGGACCAGGCAGGACAAAAATTTCCACCTACAAATGGCACCTAGACGTTTGGCAAGAATTCCCATGTAGAACCTAACAAAGGCTTAAAAAGGGCTCTGAACACACAGAAATGGGGTGGCAGTGGGCTTCCTAGCCTCACTGTCTCATGCAGGCCAAGGTGCAGAGACACTGTGGGAGTTGGGCTTGAGTACCGCATGGTATATTCCAGCCGCTGTACACAGAGGCCGTCTCCAAGCCCCACAGCATGCTGCATGGCAGATTTAGCTTTTACTCATACAGACAAAAAGGTTTATGGGCATAGACCAGAGTCAAGACAGTGAACACAGCTCCTAGAGCTGGCAGCAAACACAGCCTACCAAGTTGGAAAGCCTAACTGGCTGGAGCCAGTAATCAGCCACTGCTTTAATCCTAGCCATGCTGTTTAGCAGATTAAAGACTCATGGTCAGGAAAAAAAAAAAAAGTATACAGTGAAGACTGATTTGGATAAATAAAAACCTTTAAAGGGTTTACAGTGTGTTTAAAAATATATGTAGGCTTGGGAGAGAAAAGAAAAATAAGAAAGTCTTTAAAAAAGAAATAGAGTAACTGGGCGTGATGGCGCACACCTTTAATCCCAGCACTTGGGAGGCAGAGGCAGGCAGATTGCTATGATTTCAAGGCCAGCCTAGTCTACAGAGTGGGTTCCAGGACAGCCAAAGATACAGAGAAACTCTGTCTCAAAAAAAATAAAATAAAATAAAATAAAATAAAAAATAGAAACAAAAGAAATATTTTTAAAAGCCCCATAAAGATGGAAAATACACAAAGAGCCTAGATACTGTATGCTATTTTGTTGTCTTTGAATTGTTTAACTGCTAAAAAAGGAGCAATAGCTACTAAAGACATTTGGTTATAAATGCTGCTGGATTAATCCAATCTATATATTTTGAAAATGCCTTTAACTTCGAAATTCAAGTATAAGGATATGTTACTTTGGAAAAGAGGTTCTGTTTTTGTTTGCACAGAAAATGAAAAGCTGTGGATTCCTTCCAGACTAATTTGGTTTGATCAAGCAAGACCCCCTGAAACAGTGGCCCAGGTGATTTTCCACACCCAAAAGAGCTGAGACGATGCACCCTCAGACTTCTACAGCCAGGATTTGGCCAGGTTTTCTCAGGATCCCCTTGGGATTGACAGCGCCCCCCAAACAGCAGGAAGCAGTTTGGAGAGTATGACACCCAATTTCCCAAATATTGTTTATAAATGTTAGTTTTCATTTAAACGGGGTTGGTATAAATGGTTAATGATCACAGCTAATATCTCACTTTCTAAACAAAAAAAGGGGGGGAAATATGATATAGAAATGAATACTTTGCATTGGTATGGATTTTGGTTTATTGATACAAATTTAAGGACAATTTTGTTATATGTAAATTTATACTCTTGTTTAGGTATTATGTTTAAACAGCTCTTTTTAAAATGTAACATATAATTAAATACAGATTATGATAGTCACCTATATACTCAAAACTTATAGTTATGTTGTCAGGTTTTCTAGACATACAGAAATATATTTCAAATGGATAGGTATTCTTCAAAACCTTTCAAAGACCTACAGAATATGGCATTTAAAATGGTTTATTAGGGTTTGTCATGACAAGACACAACTGCTCCTGGTGACACCAAATACGTCAGAAAGGCAGATATGCATCAAAGAAAATCATATGGAGTTTGTCTTCAGCATGACAGGAATAACCATTTGAACTAGAACCTGCTCTTGCCGGAGTGCTTGACAGCACACAGTCCAAACTGGACAAGCAGGGTACAAGAAGTGGCTGCTGAACTTGCCAAGGCACAGGGTGGTCCTTCAATTCCTACTTCATTAAAAAGTCTGCCAGACACGATGGCCTATGGGATGAAGAGGGATGCCCCAACATTACAGAGGAAATATGGGTGACTGTCCAGGCAGCGAAATGTCTGTCAGTTCTACAGTTTATATATTACCCTCTGGGGTCTTTGATGGAGTTGAAGACAGTTATGGTTATTGTTTTCCTTAGATATGATTAAAGATAAGTTACTTTAAAACTTTAGACTCACAAAGATAGGTGACAGAATATTTTCTTTAAACTTTGCCAAATATTAGTGGACTAAATATTGTTAACTATAGTTTTTGCTTGACAGATGTTTTGTTATATATAATTTTACTATGTTATAGTTAAAACCTTCCTTTTTATTTAGACAGAAAAGAGGAAATAATGGGGGAGGTTCTTCTGTATGCTGTGAATATATGTCTCTCTTATAGGTTGATGAAAAAAGTTGTTTAGTTCAATGGTCAGACAGGACATAGCCCAACAGGAAGTATAATATGCAGGGCTACCAGACTAGGAGGATTCAAGGAAGAATTTAGAGGGTGAGTTACCAGAGAAATGCCATGTAGCTGCCATCAGAGCAAGAGGTCTTGGCATGACCAGTAAGCAAAGACCATGTGCAAATACACCGATTAACAGAAATGAGCTAATAAGAGAGCCAATAAGAAGCCTTAGCCATAGGCCAAACATTTTGTAATTAATAGAAGCCTCTATGTATTTATTTGTGACTTAAGGGCTTCTGGACCGGGTGGGACAGAAACTCTGTCAACACAAACCCAAAGACCTGAGAACAATCTGTGCTATTACTGCAACTGCTCAGGGAAACAAGTGAAAAAGAAGATACTTGGTGTCTCTGTGAAAGCTAAGTTGAAACTGTAACCCACTTATTGAAGATGAGTAAACTAAGAACAAGCATGACCAAATCAAGGAAGAACAAGATAATGAACGTATCTGCAGGGGAACTAATGTAAATCTAAAAAACAAATTTGCACGCTAATTGTTTTATAAGTTTATTCTAGGCTTCCATTTTAAGAAAGGCAAAACTGGAAGTCTTAACTATGTATGGGATAGTTATTAACAAAATGGACATATGCTCTGTTTTTTTGGGTTTTTAAGGTTTGGGGATTTGTTGTTTTGTTTTTCCGAGACAGGGATTTTCTGTAACTTTGGAGCCTGTCCTGGAACTCCCTCAGTCTGTAGACCAGGCTGGCCTCGAACCCACAGAGATCTGCCTGCCTCTACATGTGCCATCACTCCCTGTCCCGTTATTACCTGTGCTCGGAGTACCAGCTGTTAATAAGCACTCAAGAATTTGTTAAGTGAATAAGTAAGTGGACAAGGCAGAGTCAGTTGGAACCCGTTCTTTCTGCCAGTATTTCCTGTGCCACCGCTGTCCGGCTGGTGTTCCTGTTTTTAAAATAGTCCCTTATGTATTCCAGGCCCCTTGTGTTAACTGATTATAGGTTTGCCCATCAGGCACCCCATGCGTTTGATCTCCCTTTAGTAGACACGTAGCAATGCAACGGTGAGGTCACTACATTTCGTTTGTCCATGAGCATGCTTCATGAAGACAAGTGCTACGAACACAACATGCGCATGTCCCTGTGTGGTCACACACTTTCTCTACAGTAGATACCTACTTCAACAGGCAAAGTTGAATTCACAGAATCCGATGGAGGAGGGTCAAAGAGGAGGAAAACAGCTCAATGGAAAAGGCTACTCTAAGAAACAAGGAAGAACTGGCCAGAACAATAAAGAATAAACCCACAAGGGGGTACAATGAATGAGTCTTGGAAGTTGAGAGCAAGGCCAAGGCGAGTTTCGAAAGTCACTAGAGATACTGTGTTCTTTGCTGCGGCTTGGGGGGCTGAAGCAGGAACCATCAAACTCAGCAAACACACCCACTTGGAGTTTATTGGGAAAGGGAGCGAAGGGAGGGGTAGGGGAGCAGAAATGGAAAGGAAAAAAGGGGGTGGCGGGAGGTGCTTGCTTCAAAAGGGAAAGGGGGCGGTTTAGAAGCTGGGGCCCTTGCAACTGGACTCGTGGAGCTGCCGTTGGCCCAGCATGCAGAGTCCTTATGCAGCCACTTAAGGCATGCACCGCATAGCCATGCAATTTTTGACAGCTGTCAGTGAGGCGCAATCACCAGTCGAGCACAGATCCCAGGGCCCAGAGAAGAGCGACCCCGGCCCGAGGACTAGAGAGGCCCCACGACCAAGAAAGGCTCGGTACGGAGAAGGCGCAGGCCCAGGAGAGGGCTGGCTGCGAGTGACAGGCTCCAGTCACATCGCCTCTCCCAGCTACGTGGGCTCACGCTAAACTGCGGATGCGCCGGGATGCACGGGCGCCGGGGCCTGCAGCCCTCGCTCCCAGCATGCAACGCGCCGCCCCTCCCGCGAACCCGGCGAACGCCACGCCCACGCTCACCTCGGAGCTCCGGGAGCCTTTCAGCACCTGCTTGGTGAGGGCGATCACGTCGGTCCCGCAGGTGTTCACCTTCTCCGTGAGAAGCCCCTTCACAGACTGACCAAATCGTGCCTGCGAGTCCGGCGTGCCAGCCGCCATGGTCTCAACCGGCGAACACCTCAGCCGGACGACGGCGAGTCCCTGGGGCCAAAAGAGGTGAAAGCGCCCAATCCTGCGAAGAGGAAGGATCGTGTGCGCTTAGCTCGAACTGCTTACTAAAATGATTTAAAATACTCAGTTGGTGAGAATGGAAGGAAGAAGAGGCCTAAGCAAGCCACCCTGGAGAGGATAGAACATAACTTGGGTGAATCTCCAGTTTGAGTCAGAAGTACTGGATTACAACCCAGTTCTACCATTTAAGCAGCAGTGTGGCTACAAATTATGTTCTGTATAAACTAGGCTTGGTAGCACAATCCTGTAATCCCAGCATTTGCGAGGTGCAGGCAGCAGGGTCAGAAGTTCGAGGTCATCCTTGGCCAGTTGAGGCCAGACTGGAATACTTTAGAACTCTATAAAATAAAATAGAGGTTTCTTTCAATTCTAACGGACTTTTCATTTAAAGTGTCAAAGGACACAAACCAAGAACAAATAACCCTAAATTCAAATTACTAATGTGAAAAAATGTCAACATCCCTAATATTTTTATCAATAACATTTTTTTTTAATTGATGAATAGCCTTTCAATTAGAGTCTGCGTACAATTACTTTGGAAGTGAGGCCTAACGGAAGGATGCTAGGGTTGACTATTCATGCCAACTCAAGCATCAAGAAAAGTTTTCCCTGCCGTGGCAGATACTTCCTTTATAAATTTTATCTACTTGCTTTGTAAATTTTGTAAACTCTCAAGGCACACAGTGGCCAGCACCCTCTCCCCGACCTCACCATTTCCCTAGGGGTCCTAAAGGACTATAACTGCCTTTCCCAGTCGGAGGCAGCAGAGTGGCTAGGCCTACAAGAAAAAAAAAAAATCTCACCAATCCCTGAGCTTGCCCGAAGATTAGGCCATATAATCCCTCCTATTCCAGGCCATCCTAGAAAGCCCCCCCCCCCAAAGCCCTATATAAACCCTGTGTTCTGCCCAGTTCTCTGCTGAGTCTCACCCAGGCAGAGGCAACCACTGCCCTGGATTTCCCCTCCCTACCTCTTCTGTGAGGTTTGTTGTGCTGCGTGACTTTGCGGTATTTCTTGGCTCCCAGCTGCCAGGATACCTTTCCAGTTGTCCTGCTTACCGTTATGGCATTGGGAGTATGCCCTTTAATGGGTTATTGAGAACCTGCTCCCATGTTGCCTCTTTCCATCTGTGGTGGTTTGAGTCTAATTGACCCTCATAATCTCATAGGCAGTAGTAGGAGGTGTGTGCATTTGTGTGTGTGGGGGGGGGGCAGTATGTGTACATGCCTGCAGGTGCCCTCAGAGGCAAGGAGAGGGCATCAGATCCCGCTGGAGTGTAGGTGATTGTGAGCCATTCAACATGGGCTGGGTGCTGGGAATCAAACTCTGGTCCTTTGCAACAGCAATAGCTGCTCTTAACCGTTGAGCCATCTCTCCAGCCCCTATTTATATTTATAACACACAAGTCATGCATGTGGTGGGGTAACATGATTATACTGGAGCTCAGCACATTATGGTTGTGTGTGTGTATTGTTGGCATTTCTGTACTACAACATGCATGTGGAGGTCAGAGGACAACTTGCAGCATGTGAGTTTTGGGGATTGAACTCATGTTGTCAGGCCTGATGGCAAGTGCCTTTACCCACTTAGCCATATTGCCATTCCTGAAATTTTTCTTCTCACCTCACTCATGTGTTTATGGTGATGGTGATATGAACAAACCCTATTACTACCAGTCACTCAAAAACATACTACATACAATTCTATATAGCATATGATGCTGTGTGCTTATATTTCGTTCTATTCTGTTTGTGGGTTTTGCTTTTGTTTTTGAGACAGGGTCTCTATACCTGTCCCTGAATGCCCTACAACTTGCTGTGTAGACCAGCCTGACCTAGAATTCAGAGATCCACCTGTCTCTGCCTACTAGTGCTGGGATTAAAGAAATGTGCTACCATGGAAAGATGGCTTATTGGTTAAGAGCAGAGTGTTTTACGAACAGAGGTCTGAAAGATAGCTAATGCATTTAACTATGAGGAGGTCACTGTTGACCTTGTTATCAGCAGATCCAATAGTGTTGCGCTCAGAGACCAAATTGCTACAAATATACACAAAATGGATAAGGAATAAAGAAAGACACCGGTCTCCATCATAATTATTTTGCAAGAGTCTGGAGGATGGAGTAATAGCCCAGAGGTTAAAAGTTCAATACTGCTCTTCCTGAGACCCAGCATGCACATTGGGCAGTTTGCAACCTCCTGTAACTCCAGCTCCAGGGGATCAGATGACCTCCTCTTCTTGCCTCCATGGGCATTCACACCCATGGATATACATTCCTTCAGACACATACCCATACAAGTGGATGAAAAATAAATAAATGAGTAATCTAAAACTAAAACATATGATGGGGCTGGAGAGATGGTTCAGAGGTTAAGAGCATTTGTTATTCTTGTGAAGGACCTAGATTCAGTTCCAAGTACCAACATGACAGCTCACAATTAATGATCCATAATTCCAGTTCCAGGAGATCCAACTCTGTCTTCTAAACTCCAAGCACTAGGCATGCTCATGGTGCACAAACCTATATGCAGCAAGATACTCAGGAATATAACACTGTAGTGTTTGAATGTAATTGACCCCATAATCTCATAAGGAGTGGCACTATTAGAAGGTGTGGCTTTGCTGGAGTGGGTGTGACCTTGTTGGAGGAAGTGTGTCACTGTGGGGGCATGCTTTGAGGTTTCCTATGCTCAGGATACCACCCAGTGTGTCAGTAGACTTTGTGCTGCCTGAAAAATGTAGTATTCTCTCTAACTACTCCAGCATCACAGCTGCCTGCCTGCCACTATGCTCCCAGTCATGATGATAATGAACTCAACCTCTGAAACTGTAAGTGAGCCTCCCCAATTAAATGTTTTCTTTCTAAGAGCTGCCATGGTTCTGGTTTCCTTTCACAGCAATGGAAACCCTAACTGAGAGTCAGACACTTTCCCCTCTAAGTCACCATACCAAATAGGAAAGTTATCTATAAGTGCCCCATGTGCCAGGAATTTCTCATTGGGTGAGAGAACAGACCGTCTCATGAATCATTCACATGAATGAGAAACCCCACGACTGTGATAACTGTCTCTTTCAGAGCTGCATATTAACTGGCAAGACCACACAGAAGAGATCAATAAACGTGATGGCTACTGTAAAGATTTTAAAACTTAATAGACATAAGCACGCCATGGAGAAGCCCTATAAATGCCAAGTGTGGCAGAGCCTTCAGGAGCTCATCTCAGATCCTTGTGGGACTTCACACTGGTGAGAAGCCCTGAGTCTGTGGTGAAAGGTCCCAGTTCCAGGGGGTTCACCTCTTGGAATGTTGCAACTGAGAGGAGCTTCAGTAATAGTTCTGGAGAAACCACACCCAGGAGAAGACTCTTGCGTGAAGACTGCAAAAGCCTTCAGGCATACCTCCAGCCTCTTGCGTGAGTCAGAGAAGCCCTGTAGGTGTGCTGAGTGTGAGGAGACCTTCAGCTGGAGCTCCAATCTTCACATCCACCAGAAAGCACACAAAATATGCATGTCTCAAAATATCAACTCTAAAAGTTGTTTTGCTGAGTTAAAATCTTTTATTTTCTTTCTTTTCTTTTTTTTTTTTTTTATTTTTTTGCTTGTTTTTGTTTTGTTTTTCAAGACAGGGTTTCTCTGTGTAGCCTTGGATGTCCTGGAACTCACTTTGTAGACCAGGCTGACCTTGAGCTCAGAGATCTGTATGCCTCTGCCTCCCAAGTGCTGTGACTAAAGGTGTACACCACCAACTAACTCCCTGCAAGACTCCAGGAAGGAAACCCTTTATTCACCTACACTGACCTCAGGCCACCTTCATAGCAGCATAGCAGTCCAGAAGAACATTCTTTCTAAAGAGACTGAGGTGAGGCAGTGTTTCTATTCATCAGCTCAGGTCACAGGTGGCCCACAGCTTGATTCTGAGTATGAACTCTGTCAGTATGCATGCCCGAGGTGGGCATAATGTCCCTGCCACACATATTGTATCTCCTGAAATTCTAGCACCAGGACTCAGTAGTCACCCTCTGTCTGTGTGTTACAAAGTGATCAGGAGAGGGCCACTCTCCAGGGATGCAAGCTCATATTTCAATTGCTTCTTCCTCCTTGCCGCTCACATCCAGCTATTTCCCCAACTCCAGGTTTGTTTTGGTTTGGTTCTGGTCTTTCTTCTAATTAAAAGCAAATGGTGTGGGACTGGAGAGATGGCTCAGCTATTAAGAGCACTGGCTGCTCTTCCAGAGGACCTGAATTCAGTTCTCAGCACCCACATGATGGCTCACAATCATCTATAATAGGATCTGATGCCCTCTTCTGGCATAAAGGTGCACATGCAGATAGAGCACTCATAAATACTTCTTTTTTTTTTTTTTTTTAAATCAGTCTAAGTCAAATTTAGAGATGCAATGATTAGCAGAGTCTACAAACTAAAGAAAATTTCCAGGGCCCTTATGACTGACAATGATCTGTTTCCTGGTCAGCTGAGTAAGTGGATAATTACAATTCTCCTAAAATTAAAAGTAACATTGAATGCTGTCTAGGAAGGGATGTGATGGGTTGGATGTCCTTTGTATATGCGTTTCTCTTATTGGTTGATGAATAAAACAGTTTAGCTAATAGAGGCAGGAAGACAGGTGGGCCTGGGAGACGAGGAAAATTGTGAGAAAGGTAGGCAGAGAGGGGCCAAGGAGGAAACACCATGGAGGGACTGGGAGGACAGGACACGTCAGGCCATGTAGAAACATGTAGATTAGCAGTTATGGGTTAATAATTAAGACCGAGCTAGCTAATAAGAAGTCCTAGCCATCGGCTTAATATAGCATCTGTGTGCTTATTTGGGGCTGAGTAGAGTGGGACCTGGTGGGACAAGAGACTACAGCAACAGGGTGAGCATTTGTGGATACTCCAAGGACCCTGTGAGATAAAGGGGACCCGTAGTAACGGGACATAAGGAATGCTATGTCTAGGTTGAATCAAGTGGCAACCTCAA